CTGTTCCCGTTCTTTGAAACTTTTCCCCATCCCTATTACCATCGGAGCATGGATCGGGGATCTCTGTCGGAGACGAGACAAATTGTCATCCCTACGAATAATCTAGATTATTTAATTTGAGAAATTGATTGAAATTCTTGTGCATGTAATTAAAAAATTGTTGAGATTATAACACCTCAATAACAGTTGTGAAGTTGCCAATCACCATATCCACGTATTCCTTCTTGGTATGTGAATTGAAAAGGCTGGAGTTTGATGCTAAAGTGCTAGTGTAGTCATTACTGCCAATGCTAAACATGTAAACAGCATTAGAGAGCAATTCTTTTCTTCTCTCAGTCCCCAACTCTTGCTTCAAGTGTCCTGAAACTTTCTTGAAATATCCCAACTGCGCTTTAAGATCAATTACCTGATCGCATCAAATAAGTAATTATTAGTTCATGAATATTTTTACATTCAAAACTACGGTCGCTACTTGAGAGTGTGCACTGAATATATCGTGTATTGTGTCCCTAGCCAGCAAAGGACTGCAGTGTGCAGAGAGCCAAAAATGTTGACCGACTCAAACCAATAAAGTCAATAAGTCACTCCAATTAAGAGTTAAACTTGTAACTTTCTGATTACGAGATCAATAGTTTGACTAACTTAGCTGGGGTTGCTCCATACAAAAAATACTATGCTAATAGGCTGTTATAATTAGGAGTCAAACTTATAACCTTCTGATTACCAGGTCAATGGCCTGACCAATGAAGTTATCCCATACAAAAGAAACTTTATTACATACAATTGATGAGTAAACCACTACAATGAAGTATAAGAATCAGAAAAACACTTTCAAACAAACTATGACTAACTGCCTCTTACAAAGTGATAGAAAACTCAATCCTAACGAGTTTTGGCCCTATAGCTAAAGAATTTTGACTTAATATTATTAAATTATAAAGTTTGAAGCCTTGATATGTTGTGATTTAAAAAGAAATTAAATAATATAGGGATTAGCATTCAAAAAAAAAAAATAATATAGGGATTACATTCTTATAATAGTTATTAATAAGAAACTAAATAATATAGGGATTAAATTCTTATAATAGTTATTAGTAAATAGTAATTAACTATATTATGATCTTTAGCAAAAAAAAAAAAAAAAAAAAAAAAAAAAAAAAAAAACTATATATATTACATTATTATGATCGGTCATCACCTCTCTACTATTTTAATTATATTCTTTTCATATCCTCATGGGGGTCCATTGTTTGCTTTTATCAACATTGACTTTAATTCTGCAATTTTTTAAATTTTGATTTTTTACTCTCTGTTTTCAAATTGTATAAACAATTACACATACAATTAGTTTTTTTTTTTTTTTCCTCAGGACAGATTTAATAAATCTTATTTGTTATTTTACTTTATCTTATTAAATAATAAAAAAAAAACAATGTATTATTAGTAAGAATTGAACTCATACTATTTATATAATATTTTAATTTAGACCTATAACTACTTTAATTTACTACAATAATAAAATATATATTGTATTGTCATATTGGATGGTGAAAGGAACTGTTGGAAGGAAATTCTTTCCAACACATAGTGTTGGTCAGAAATTTCAATAATAATGTTTTAACATGATGCCTTATCTGTTCAAATTTTCTGTGAAACTTTGATCTGTTGGCCGCTATTTTCGACCAAATATTGGTGTTGGACGGATAATCCGAAGAATGTTTTTCCGAATCTCCAATTTAGTTGGTAAATTGGTAGTAAGCCTCATTTCTGACCAAAAAAGTCCATTTTCAAATAGAAATTGAAAGATTTTTAGCAGTCTTTTTTATGTAAGATTTTTGTCCCTATAATTTTATCTTATGGAATTATGTATAACTTATCATAACAAATATATACTTACGGATTACAAACTAACACACATATTATATATACATCACTTTGCTTAAGGTATGAATTCCTCTAAGAATTGAAAGAAAGATCATATCACCTACCTTGCCGGAAAAGGTTTCAGCAAGATTACCGGCGCCAGCTGATGCAAAGTTGACTCCATTAATAAATGGTCCATACTTCACCCGGAAATACGCCGGAACTAATGGTAGCTTTGCAAATTTGGCTTTAACCCAAAAAAAAAAAAAAAAAAAAAAAAAAAAAAAAAAACCCATAAAATCGGAACACTCAAAATAATACAATATATGATCTATTTTTTACAATATAAGTGTAGACTTACCAATAAAATCAGGAATGAGGAAACCATCTGAAAACCTACCAGTAGGGTAGGGGAAAGATGTTTCACCATATGGTCGAAAATTAGCCCTGAAATCATTAGTAGTATTAATGTAGTTATTGTTGCCAGAATCAAATAACGAGTCTCCAAACACAAATAGTGCTACGTGGCGTTCATTGAGGGCTGAAGAATGCACCGAGTTACAAAAGCTGGCAAGCAAGGCCAAGGCAAACACATGAACACAAAAATTATTAGCCATATTTTAACTTCTCTATTGGGTTTATGCTTTGCCATGAATTTATAGGGAGATGGATTGCGTACTGTCCAAGTAATAATTTGTATTGTGATTTAATTTCATAATTTTATATTTTAATAATAATGGGGTTTCAGTTAGCAGATCCATAGTCAATTCATTACTTGTTCAAATTGTTTTGTGGGTGTACTATTCAATGATGTTTGCAAAAATATTATTCAAGGTTTAAAGTCAAAATAATGAAAATCTATACGTCAAGATTATTATATATATTTTTTTAATATAGGAATAAAGTCCAAATTGATCATTTAACGTAATCTGAAAATACAATTAGACCACCAAACAGAAAAAAAAATGTAATTAGACCACTGAACACTTTAAGTGTATGCAATTTCACCGGATAGCATATTAGTATCTATTTCACCAAGTTGTCTGCTAACGTGGATGGAGGGTTGACATTTTAAATAATAATAATAATAATAAAACGCCGACGCCGGCCACCCCTTCCCCCCTCTACGACGGAGTCTATTTCATCAAGTTATCTACATACGTGGATACGCCGGCGCCGGCCACCCCTTCCCCCCTCTACGATGGAGAAGGAGGGGGGAAGGGGGTGGCGTCACCGCGTGAGATGAAGGGCCTGTTTCAGGTTACCCCCCACTGGAGACGAAGACAAAGGAGGACACCCCTCCCCTTCCCCCCTCTACAATGGAGAAGGAGGGGGAAGGGGGTGGCGTCACCGCGTGAGATGAAGGGCCTGTTTTAGGTTAACCCCCCCCCCCCCCCCCCAGGAAGGGGTGGCCCATCATTTTTTAATTTTTTAATCAAGTTATGTATAGAAGTTGTGAAGCATTTAGTAGTTTCAGATTGATTTTTTCATACAAGAGGAGGTTCGAACGCTCGACCTCTCATAAGAGATGAGAGTGCACGTCCACTCACGCTAACCAAGTTGGTTCAGTAGTTTCGTTTATTTAATAAAACTATAAATAGTTTGAAAGTGCGTTTTCAACAAAGAGCGCTTTTTTTGGTGCATTTCAACAAAGAGCGTTAATTATAATAATAAATAAATAAATAAATAAAAAGGGTCAAATAGACCCTTAAATTTTACTCAAAAGTGCAATTAGGTCATTGAACTTTAAAAAAGTGCAATTAAACACTTGAACTTGTCATTTTGGGGGCGTCTAAACCCAGTAGCCAGTTATTCACCTGGAATAACCGGTCATTTAAAAATTCCGACGATATTTTGACGAATAAAAAATTCCAGCGACGATAAAAATTAAAAAAAAAATAAATCAAGGCATTCTCAATCGGAGAAGACGACCATCAGTCGCCTTCTCCATTGGAGAAGGAGAAGGCGACCAGATCTGGTCGTCTTCTCCAGTAGAGAGGATGACCGAACGTCGCCTCGATCTCCGGGAGAAGACGACCGGAAATTGTCTTTCCGGAGGAAATTGTTTTTTTTTTTTTTTGGCAGAAGTGTCAAATAGCCCATCTACTACTGCGAGGTGCTCAATTCTCACCACGAACTAAATTAAGTGTCAAATAGGCCCATCTATCACCTAAATTTGTTCGATTGACTTTTTTTGCAGGTTGCCTATTCAATTATTAAAAAAATATTAATAAAAATTAAAATAAATAAACGAATTTCAGCCACCGGCTGTTTGGCGCGGACAGCCGTGGCTGGAATTCTTTTTTTTTTTTTTTTTTTTTTTTTTTTTTTTTTTAATAATTGAATAGGCAACCTGCAAAAAAAAAAAAAAAAAAAAAAAAAAGAAGCTATTTGAACAAATTTAGCTGGTAGATAGGCCTATTTGACACTTAATTTAGTTTGTGGGTGGGAATTGAGAACTTCGCAGTAGTAGATGAGCCTATTTGACATTCTGTCATTTTTTTTTTAGCGTTGGTGAACAGTGATTAGTGGCGGCCAACAGTGGTCTACGTCAATAATTTACCTGTTGTTTACCGGTAAATTTGACTTATTTGACTCATTTTGACATGTTTGAATGTTTAATTGCACTTTTTTTAAAGTTCAAAGGTCTAATTGTACTTTTAAGTAAAATTCAAGGGTCTATTTAACCATTTCCTAAAAAAAAACATATATGATTGAAGTTTATTTCCAAATAGAAATCTTGAGCAATTATTAAGAGAATTGATTAAGAAATCAACTTTGCTTTTGCATTGGAAAGGGAAGATGATAAACTATTGTTGGGCGGAGACTACTATAGTGATGAACAATATTTTATTAGTATTTTAGTTAATCTTATTATTCTTTGCAGAATTGGCAGGTATTTTTGTTATTTTTAATTTGTTAATGTATCTTTAGTTAATCTTTTTAATTTGTTATTAGTCCTTCTTTAAATGATTGAGAGTTGGGCTTTAATTTTTTGTTATTCAGTGAATGTTTTAATTAAAAGTTGTTACTACTTGAGCCCAATGTCTGTTCAGCGGCAAATTATGCTGTACAACCGTGTGCACTATGCATGGTACAGACATGTCTAGATTCATAATTTCTATATTATAGATTCATAATTTCTATACTGTAGATTCATAAAATCTATACTGTAGATTCATAATTTTATAAATATATGTTCATAATTATAGAGCTATATCTTCATAATTTTCGATGTTCAGAGTCTCAATTGTGGAACTCTGTATTCACAAATCACATAACTATATGTTCATAATTTGATAACTATACAGTTTAGAAATTATGAATCTAAGTACATAATTATGAATCTACAGTACAGATATTATGAATCTACAGTATAGAAATTATGAATCTACTGTATAGAAATTATGAATCTACGATTTAGAAATCATGAATCTACAATATAGATTTTATGAATTTGTAGTATAGAAATTATGAATCTACAGTATAAAAATTATGAATTTAAACACGTGCGCACCATGCATGGTGCACACGGTTGCACACCATAACAATCTATGTTCAACTCATTGAATAAAAATACTTCTCTTCCCTCTCCATGAGTAGGGGTGACCAAGGTTCCGGTTCCAATTTCTTTGATGGTGAAATCGGAACCAAAACCTTATATTAAGATTCCGGTTCCGATTTTGAACAAGCAGTTTCAACCGAAACCATCGGTTCTAAGTTCTAACCGTGAATATTACGAAGTATTATTATTATTATTATTATTATTATTATTATTATTATTATTATAGGGCTCTTGGTGCAAAGGCCAAAAGGCCAAACTTCGGGCCTTTGCGCCACAGGCCACATTTTTTTTGGGCTTTTGGCGCAAAGGCCTAAAGCCAAACTTTGGCCTTTGCACTACAGCCCACAGCTACAGTTGTGAGCTGTCCCACTGCCCAATGTGACAGTGCGGCAATATGCTACTCCCCTCCGTCCCGAATTGGTTGTCTCATTTTCTTTTTGCACGCTTTTTAAGGAATTAAAGTAAATGCTATGTATTTTCCAATTATGCCCTTCACTTTTTCACTTTTGGAAATAAAAGCAAAAGTGATAAGGGTAATTTGGGAAAAAGTAAAATGATGGTGATGTTCAATTTTAGAAAGAGGACAACATTTTGGGACAAACAAAAAAGGAAAGTAAGACATGCAAAATGGGACAGAGGGAGTATAAATTTTTTTTGGAATCAGAACTGTATGGATGGTTCAGTTTCAATTCTGGTTTAATAGTACACAGTTCAGTTCGAATCGAACCGTGATCATGCCTATCCATAAGTCTACAACGTCGACGCTGAAGAGAGGGGCGCAAGAATTCGACGGCAACATACAGAGTCTCCAAACGACGAGGACTGTAGAGGCTTCGGTCCTATAGACATCTGATTGTTTGGCTGAGTTTTCGAACTGGCGAGAAGCTTCGATAACGTTCCTTAGTTCAAGGTCTTCTGCGGAAACTAGTGCCACAAGTTGAAGCAAAGTCTCGGTGAAGAAATCGGAGGTACGATTGGACCGAAACAAAATAAAAGGAGGCTAAATCGAGAAAGGGGGCATCAATCTTCATCACCAATCACACACCATCTCGACACCAAAATTTGTTTCGGAGAGTTTCGTCCGGTCGGGATTCGACTTCGGAAGCTTCAGACAGCGCTAATTCCGGCAGTCAGCTCTCTCTAGTGACCTGACCAATTTTAGCATAGGTTAATATGTTGAGAGAGTTAATTGAGTAAATATCATGCCTTTTAATTCGAAGCTCTAAAAGAATAGATAATTTGATTGTCTTTTCAGATTGTTTATTTGATTCTAGATAGGGTATTATGTAACTTCATTTAGGCATAATGTGTTTTAATGGTTTGAATAAATGTTTTAGGCATATGAACTGTTAAAACACGGAACTAGTTCTGGACGCCATACATAGTAGTTTTATTAATGAAAGAACGAACCTTTAATTGGTTGGCAATATTAGGCTTAAAATGCAGAATTAGTAATGGTTTCTATTCATGTCCCTAGGCTTTTCCAATTTGATTGTTATTTGATTTTCTAGTTCCTAGTGTTTCATTTATTTAGCTTCCTGAATAAGTTAATTAGTCTTGCATATGAGTTTCCTTATATTTGAACACTTTAAAATTATTAAGTTAATTGTTTTAGTTTCTAGTTGATAAATTGCATTGTATTAACACGAACCGGGCGTACGCCCCTCGAGCGCAAAGAATGCTCAGATGCCTGGGAAACATTATGCACTTCCTGCTCTAAAGGTACTTACTGGCAGGTCTTGGTTGAGAAGCGTTGTCTGTCAAGCCTCTCTCTCGCTCGCACGCGTCCATCATGCGAGCCAATACCTCTGCGATGGTCAGAATGACTTGCGTGGCCGGTGGGGGAGGAATTGCCATTGGTATCTCATTAGTCGGCGCGACAGTATCTTCTGTATGTGATGCCGACCTCTCGTCGGAGTTACGATAACTTAGTTGTTCTCGGAGATCTCTGACAGAAGCACGTTTGGCAGCTGCAGGCCCCCGCATTGACGGCGGCAGCGATGTTATCGACGGTGATTGCGGCGGCGACATTGCCGACGTTTACAGAGCGCTACGTCTAGTGCGTACAATTA